TGGTTGCGCGCCCTCGCTCGGTAGCAAGAGGATCCTCGAATTTTTACTTTTTTGCCGTAGAACTCTTTCGCTCTCTTTCACACACTCTTTCTCACCTTTTTTCTTAGTTTCTACGTTTCCCGATGATACAACCGATATACGTTCCTCGCGGCACAAGTTTTCGTCATTTTCCGGAGAAAATGGTTCCACGTAACGAGAGCACACCGCGAGTCTACTCACTAAATGGTACTAGACTATTGACTACGCTAATTTTCGAGTGACTATTCATAGGTATACATGTATAGGGTGAATCGACGAGATTATTATGTCCGACTAAATCGTTACTTGTTCACTCGATTAAGAAATGTTTCTATCTTGAACGTATCCGGTGCAAGAGGCTGGAATGAATGCTGTCTGTTCCTTTCGTGTCGTGCCTTTTTCGAGATATCAAAGTGACGTTAAGTGTTTTATACAGCCGAAAGAAACGTATGGTTATATTAAGAAAATGCAGTGTCACTTTGATATCTCGGGAACAATGCAACGAGAAGTAATGAAGTGCACTTGCTTGAGTCATCGTGAATGGAGTATATTTTACGATTAATTTTTTGACCGAACGAATAAGTAACGAGTTGTTTCACATGGAACTTCTCGTTGATTCATCCTGTATACAGAGTGTCCCAATAACCATTGTACGCCAAGAAAAAGGTGCTTCCTTGCAGAAGAAATAAATGAAATTGTAAAAGTAGCACGGAAACCCTAGTTTCCTAAATAGAAATCATTTTCAACGTTTCGCGATTCGCAAAATTTCAATCGAACCTCTCGATACAATCTATGCAACAGAATCTTCGATTCTTAACAATAAAATAGAATTTCGATAATCGTTTCTTTCCGAATACTAAATCTCACTCGCAAGAACTCTATTTCACAATTTCAATTTATTGTCGCCGGAAGTTGACCAGTTTCTAGCAGTGACATTAATTACGGGACGCTCCGCGTGAATTAGAAAGAGACTGAGAGACTAAAGTCCGATGTAAAGAAAAGAAGACTGAGAGCAAATGTAGCCTAGATCTATTCGGAGAGAATAGTAATGACGCGTGATACACGGTTCGCCCGAGGACGAGTCTCTCGCTGAATTTCCGCGGATCAGAGAACCGAATTGCCGCGGCACGCGACGTCTATTCACGTGAAACCGGAAGAAACGGCTAGTGTGACGATGTGTTACCTGTGGCGGACAGCTGGCTGGTGCTGCTGCTCTTCTTCCCGAGACCGGACTGATACTGCGTGGTGCTGCCGCCGCCGCCGCTGCTTCCGCTTCCGCTCTTACTGCCCGGCGAGCTCTTACGACCCCTCCTCGAGGAGTCCTCGACGTTCAAACCGATCGCCGTGTCGCTCAAGCTACCGTCTGTTGAAGACAAGTCACGTGAACCAGCTGACAACAAGTTCATTGCGAAATTAACGAAAAGAAACGGAACAGGAAGGAGTTTCTAGGTGGACAGACTTTCGGTTGTTCTGAAACTAGGGAAAGAACAGAGATTGTTAGTAATCGTTTATCACAGGAACGAATGTAACGAGTTAAAAAATATAATGTAATCAAAAATATAAATAGTAAATTTGAAGAAAATATAATATTGGTTACAAGAGAAGGACTTCAATACAGTTCTTTGTTCAGTGGTTTGAGGAAAGAGTTAAAGACTCGTTGAAATCGAAGTTGGATAACAGAGGTCCTTCCCTTGTTATTGGTATACCTGTTGATATCTTGAAAATTGGTACAGCTATACATCAGCGTGTAAAAGTTGTTCATTAGATAGATACTTTGGTTTACATTTGGAAAGCGATATCGAAAAGGAGTTTTAACAAAATAACTTTTGCACGCAACTGTGGGAGTCCTACGACTCTATCTAGTTTCAACTAAACACAGCAATCTCCACGAGAAAGCTTCTTTTCCGGTGCATCGGCTAGCTTTCTCGCGAGGTCGGAAGAAACTAGAATTCAGACGACATCGCGAGGAAGCGAAATAACCAACAGAATACTCTGAAATCGCTCGATTGCACTTTCACGGAGATAAACGTCACTCTGTTGCGCTTTCGCGGGGAATAACCGATAGCTCTCTCGCGAGGATCAACTAGTAGCTTTCTGAACACACAAACTACAACGAGAAAGCATCATGATCGAGCAGCGAAGGTCGCGGCGGTAGACTCACCGACTTTCTCGTCCTGTGGCGCGTCGGTGTTGCTGAGGCTTCTGGCGAACTGGCTCCGTTTCCCGTGCTCGTCGGCCTCGTTCTCGGCCCCCTGTCCTCTGGACGCCTTCTCGTACGATCCGGACTGGCCGGTGTACTCGCTGCTTTCGGGCATGGAGGAGGATCGGCGATGATCGTCGCCGCGCGCATCGTCGCCGGCGGTTTCGTGTTGGCCGTCCGTGCCGGTTTTTTTCCGCGAGCGGCGCCGCACGGACGACGACGGTGAGAACGACGTCGACGACGACGTGGCGGCGTTGGTGGTGGTGGTGGTGGTAGTGGCG